TTTTCCAAATTATACAGGGAAGACCCTAAAAGGGTCTACAGTGTAGATGGAATGAAATATTGATAACTCCATGCTTATTCTGCAAACTGACAACCTTCAAATTGCTTCCCTTGTAATTCTGAATCACATACTTCCCTTTCACATTCCTCTTATCTGAGAGATCTCCATACAAAATTAGCTAAGAATAGCTCCTGTGCTGAAGATCTTTCTGGAACTTCCTCCTCCTCCTCCTCCTCCTCCTCCTCCTCCTCCTCCTTCTTCTTCACCACCACCAGTCCATTAGATTTTGAAGCCATGATGTTCTTCTTCTGCCTGGAGCTTGTTTGCCCTCAACCTTTCCCTGGAGGATTAAATGGAGTATGCCGTATTTTTCTGGGTGTCGCATCACATGCCCGAAATATTCTAACTTTTGTTTTTTAATTGTTTTGATGATTTCCCTTGGCTTTCCCAGGCGGCTTGTCAACTTTCTTTTGGGGAGAGTTTATACGTTAGTTGAGGGCTTATGGGCATAGATCCCAGTGGTCCTTGTTAAACTACAGGTAGCCCTCAACCTATGACCACAATTGAGCCCAAGTGATACATCTGTTAAGTGTTTTGCCCCATTTTACTATCTTTTTGCCACAGTTAAGCGAATCACTACAGTTGTTAACTTAGTAACACAATTGTTAAGTGAATCTGGCTTCCCCATTGACTTTGCTTGTCAGAAGACTGCAAAAAGTGATCATATGACCCCAGGACACTGCAACCGTCATAAATATGAGTCAGTTGCCAAGCATCTGAATTTTGATCACGTGCCCATTGGAGTGCTGCAATGGTTGTAAGTGTAAAAAACAGTCATAAGTCACTTTTTCCAGTGCTATTGTAACTTTGAATGGTCACTAAATGAATTATTGTAAGTCAAGGACTACCTGTATATCACAAAGCAAGATTTGGCAGTTGTTGCCAACAGCTATCCAGTTCCCAACATTATCAGATAAATATTATCAATACAGTAATAAAGGCTGTATATAGTACCTCTTTATATCCTAAAACTTTAAAAGTCAGTATACAATAATTTTCTTGATAGATCAACTACATCTTCATATTTTGTTTTATGAAACTGTGTACAAAATTTTGTAGGGCTGGTCTGATATCTTGGATAATGTGTGCCAGGAATCTTTTAGACTTAAGTGATATTCTGCTTTTGCAAACATAACCAATAACACTGTATTGTTGAAGCTCAAAATTTCCAAAAGTTATTATAATATAATGTAGGAAAGTTCAGGTAATCTGCTCTGGTGCATTCCAGTATGATATAAATTAATCAATTTTCATTTCTGAAACAATGGTCTAAATACATCTCATCCTCTTCTTTACAGATTACAATATTGACCAATATAAATCGGTCTATACATGATGCATAAAAGTATTGACAAAGTATTAACTGCCAAATTATTAGTTGGCTGTAAACTTAGTTGGTTATGTTGGGCAGTGATGCTCATCCTCTATTCTCTTAGATTGAAGAGGGGTTTTTCTCCTTGTAAGCCATCTGATGAGCTAAACTAAGCAGATAATTGGAAGTCTGTTCCTCATTAGTCCATGCATCAAAGCTCCAAGACGTGCACTTTGTGTGGCTGAGGGCCAGGGCATCAAGTTGCCGACCCCTGGTGTTTAAAATACTGTTTTAAGGATAAAACGGAGAAGTGAAGCTTGCCTGTCTTTTTGAAGTCTATCAAAAAAAAGATGGCATATAAAAATAACACGTACATGAAAGGAAAAATGAGGAGCAGGAAAGTTGCCTTTCCTTCCAAGAATATCTGAGCTGGAGCTATTGCCATTATTCTAATAACACCCCGGGTGTCAAACTCGCCGTGTCATGTGATGTGTCGTGACGTATTGCAACTTTTTTTGCATTGCTGGAGCTGGGGTGGGCACAGCCTCCATATGATGCAACCGGCCCATGGGCCGGCAGTTTGACATCCCTGTTCTACACCCTGAAAATGGATGTAGAGGTCACAGAATATCTGGTTCATATATTCTTTTGCTTAATTGTAGAATGGAGAATCTCTTCTATCTCTAAATTGTAAATAAGAAAATAGAGAGAAGCGTACAGTAAGTTCCATCTTCCACTATTAAAAAAAGTCATCAAACACAACAATAGTGAAAACAAAATGTCAGCAATTTCCATATAATTACCAGCTGTTTCCACCGCAGGACAATAAACTGTATTTCTGAACAGCTGTGTGAAATAACAGTAAGTTAGTTACCTTCTTGAATAGACAAGCTGTTTCAGAGAGAAGGAGCCATAGTATAAAAGGCTTCTTCCAGGACATCAGTCTACCTATCTTAGTTCAGGTGTGGACTTACAGCATGCTCTCTCTGCTTGTCTGAATTGGATAAGCAGATTCAAGTTAGAATGAGTAATATCCCAGATCCAAGATGCTTTAAAACCCAAGATTGGGCCTTATAGATAATCACCAGAGCCTTAAATATACTCAGAAGCACATTGGTAAGTGGTGCAATTCCCATAATGAAATTCATGTGCTTGTGCTGATTTTAACTGGATATTACTGATCATTGCAGTGTTATAAAGCTGCCTAGTACCGGTTTACTCAAGCAAACGACCACCCATAATTGACTTAGTTGAACTTGAATAAGCAGTGCAGCATTTGACCTGACTTTTATCCACAAAGATGTAGACTACTGTAGACTGAAAATTGCAAATAAATAAATAATAAAATCTCACATGAAGGCAGTGGAAATTATTCCCCATCATGGAATCATAATTCCAGTCACATTTTGCTGTTGCTAAGAAACTACCTGTAATATCACCTATAGTACAAGAGCCATGGTGGCCCAGTGGTTATAATGCAGTATTGCAGGCCAACTCACTGCTCACTGCCAGGAGTTTGAATCTGACCAGCTCAAGGTTGATTCAGCTTTCCATCCTGAAGTCGGTAAAATGAGGACCCAGATTGTTGTGGGGCAATATACTGACTCTGTGAACCGCTTAGAGAGGGCTGTAAAGCACTATGAAGCGGTATATATAAGTCTGAGTACTATCACAAGCAACAAAAATCAACTAGCCATATCTACAAATCCAATAATGCAATCATGCGGATCTTGTCTGCAGATTACCCCTCTTTTGCAGAATAAATCCATATATATTAGCATATGATTTATGGTGTTTTACTGAAAAGCCAGGATAATAATATGGGAGTGAAACCTGTGGATGTTCAGAAGATACTGAATTACAGGTAACTGCTGCATCCTTCCTTATTATTAGCCATGCCAATGCTTACAGCTTTCAACAGAGTAGGAAATCCTGGATCAAGTGAGAAGAGCAACTTTCCCACCTAAAATCAGAAACCCTTCATGCAAATTCTCACCTGGCTTGTTTCATTCACGTCTCACATTAAATATGTTACAAAACGTTAACATTATCAGAAAAAAATGCCAAAATGCCACAGTCTAAAAGTGCAAAAAAGCAAATGATATGCCAACTGAAATGTACAGATGATTTTAAAGCTTAGAAAATAATATGCTCGATTCCTGTGTTGAGGGATGGCACCCCACATTAAAAGTGCCATCGCCAAGAAAAAAAAACTCCTTTCTTTGTAGCTCATCAACAGGGACACCCAAATACATTTCTTTGAGGAATTGTGATATAAACAACTGTATGTAGAGACAAGCTCTTACTATATTCCAGACCCAAATTATTAAGGATTAATGGGCAGACCAGATTTTGAGTTGAGCCCAGAAACACAGTGGGATTCAGTACATTTGGTGGAGGAGCAATTCCCCAGTCACAGTGTTTCATACCATCTTTCCTGAGATTGTTGGCTCTTGCTGTACACTCATTTTGATGACTCATAGAGTTTCACAGTTGCTAGCACTAAATTGCTTGTCACTAAATTGTATTCTTCTAAGTATAATTTGGACATTACCTTTGGCATGGAAAATGATTGTTTCATCTGCTGCTCTTATAACATTGGAAAGTCTAAATGTGACAACCAATATTTGGCGTCTTCAGTGTCGGGACGCTGCTAAAACAGGAGTCATCATATTCCACTATACTGATAATGATGACGATTACAGTTATTATGTAATTTTTAAACTTTCATTATCTGCATGCTGCCTAGAATTCTGCTAGGATTGAGGAGATAAATCAATTACACCAGGGGTTCCCAACCCCTGGTCCGTGGACCAGTACTGCCAGCATCTGGTCCGCACAAACAAGCAAAGCCCCATCTGCAGGATGCAGGCAGCACACAAAACCACGCACCTTTCCAGTCCACGGAAAAACCTCTTTCCACCTAACTGGTCCCTGGTGCCCAAAAGGTTGGCGACCTCTGAATGACACAACCAATGAACAAGTAATACATGAATTTAAAGTGAAAGAATCTAATGCCAGCCTTGGCTTTCTCCAGGTTTGTGGATTTTAGGTTCCAGGATTTTCAGCAATTGTTCTGCTGGCTAGGAAATTTTGGGAGGTGAAGGATGTACATCTGAAATATAAAGAGTCTGGGAAAGGCTGTTTTCTGACAAAACTGTTGTCTTAAGCCTATTTTCTCATCACAGGCTGAAGATTATAATAGAATCAAGCTACCCTTCTATGTAGTCTCATAAGAGTCCCTGGGTAAACTTTCTCCTGCATGATGGCATTTGATGTCAAGTCTCATATTCTTCTCAGCCAGCATAAACGTCAGGCATACTGGTTGGTTATTATAAGAGAGGAAATTCAACACATTTGATTGATTGCATTGTCTTTGGATATTTTGCTAAAATGACATTACCAGATGCTGACACTTTTTTAAAAAAAACATTTTTTCTCAAAAGGTAGACTTGCCTTTTCCTTCATAACTTTCTGAATGAACTTGTGCAGAAAATAACATGGTTTGCTAAATGATTTCCTGGGTGCTCATCACAATATCTCACTGCTGCTGGATGATTACAATAGATAAATGAAGTACAAAGACACACACTAATTCAACTTTTTTGTTATTTTGTTACATCTAGGTGTGCATTGTACAAAAAAGAGATACAGAGAAGATGTATGCCATGAAGTACATGAATAAACAACAGTGCATTGAAAGAGATGAGGTTCGGAACGTGTTCAGAGAACTAGAGATTCTACAGGAAATTGAGCATGTCTTCTTAGTGAATCTTTGGTGAATTTCTTTTTTTCTCATATTTTAAAGAATGTATGTTCCACTGATTTTCCAAATGTATGCGTCTAGTTGAAAGCATGTTAGTCTTTTCAGAAAGGAGTCTTGGGTACAGCAGTGCATAGAGTATGATTTTCAAAATTCCATTATACATAAAAGAAAATGGTAGAGTCCACAATCTACAGCAAACAAAACTTAGCATTATAGAAATCCAGCATCTTAATAGACTACAGATTCAGAATATCTATAGAAATGGAGAGTCCAGTTATGCAACAGCTGGCTCATGATAAGAGTTCCTGTAATAAAACATAGTTTCTTAATATATACTGTAGCTACAATTATAGAATTAGATAATTATTAGATTAGTTTGACTGGCTGGTTGCCTGGCTGCCCGTGTTAGTTCAGGAATTATTTTAGACACTTCGAAGGCACAAGTTTGGAGAAAGCTGTTGAGGAAAAAGAAACCAATTGGAATAGTATAATGCCCAAAGGAGAAATGGAATAAATGAAGAATGTAATATAGATTAAACATTAAATAGTGGAAATAGTGGATTTTTTGACTTGATAAGATTGGACAATGGGATTTTTGAGATAATCTGTGTCTTATTGATTTAGGGAAGGATTTCATAGGAAAGTTGGCTACCATAATTTTAGGAGAATTTGTCTTGATTTGGCATATTTACTTTTTTCATTTAAAGTTATTACTAGTCTTTAAAAAATGAATTATATTGAATTAATTTTGCTACAGCAGATAGCAGTTCTCTTTCTACTCTCATTCTTAATAGTTTTCAAACCAACAACTAGCTCATGTGAGGAACAGGGCTACAGAAAAAAATTCCTGAACTAACATCAGCAAGGTTGTAATTTGGGGGATCGGCCTCCCAGTCCATTAGTATAAAAAGTATCTCTCTACTGAACAGATGCATGCAGACTGGTGTATAAGAAACTCAATTGAAACTTCAGTAAGATCCTCCCTGTCTCAAGACTGAAAACATAGCACTCTTCTCTCCACCACCCTCCCCTCCATAACAAATATGTGGGGTGATTGATCCAAAGTCACTGAGTGAGCTTTCATGGCTGAATGTCCCTTATTACCCTAACTACTGTCTCACAATAAAGAGGCAGGGTGGGGACAGGTCTCCAGCTTTGATTCTATAGGAGAAAGTTTAGCATAATAATAAATATAAAAGGCATACCTCTGGTTTTAAAAATGTAAGAAAAAAAATATGCTGGATCAAAGTTAAAGGTCTAATTTAACATTCTGTTTCTAAGTGTCCAACCAGGAACCACAAACTGAACAGGGATCTAGTAGTTTCTTCTGTTTCATTTTCTACAGCAATTTGCGGTTGAAGTGTGCACAGATCTAGTCTTGGAAGTACTGTATTGATAGCTTTATCTTGTGTGCAGTTATGTAACTTCTTTTCAAAGTTGTTCAGATTGGGGACTATCACTTTATGTGATAATAAATTCTGGAAGTTAACTGTGATATGTAAAGACTTCCTCCCCCCCCCCCCAAGGTTTTGGTATTATGTGAAGGAATAATTTTTATGTAGCCACTCATGGATGTTTACCTATACTAATAATGTGTATCTTTGGGTCCCCTCTTTACTCTTAAGCTGAGAAAGCACTGAATAGCAATGTGTCTCACAGGGGAATTGCTCAAGCCTCTTTATCCTTTTGGTTGTCTTGTCTTGTTTTTATCTACAACACTTTGAAATGTAAATAACACATTCTTCCTGTAGCATTCTGAATGGATAATTCAGACCTTGGCATTTTTTTTTTCAAGAGATAGGCACTACTGAGTCATCTTATGTAATGGCATTTAACAAAGAATAAAATAAAATAAATAATAAAATAAAATAAAATAAAATAAATATGCACCAAATCTTATTAACATTTTTGGTAAGTTTTCAGTATTTTCATCCCTGAAATCTTACACTCTCATCTAAATTCTTTTGAGTGCTTCTCCTGGAAGTTTTGTTAGGGATTTTTTTGGTGTTTCTAAATTTAATTTGGGAGGGGGGATTGGACACCATCTGGAAGGATCATGGCTGTATTTCTGAACCCTATTACAAACGTAGAAATATAAAGGAATAACCATGTTATTTGCTTTTTACAAAGGCACTCAATTTATTGGGGGTGATAAAGGGAAATCAATTTTCTAACTCGTGTTTCTAAGCTAATTGAATCTCTAGATAGTCTTAGAAGAAAATAATTCTCCGACCTATTTGATCACCTCTTTTACAATTTTTTCCACTCAGTTTTGGCAGATAGAATAAAAATGTCCAGCTAATGACTTCCCAGAGTTTCTGTATTAAAAAGATTCTAGGCAGCTCAGACTAACAAAATCTTGCCAATGAGTCATTCACACTGATGGCACTGGTTATCATTTGATAATGAAATGAGACAGGCTGCTTGGTATTCCAGTACATTATTGATTATGCCTGGAAAAAATTACTGTGTAATGATCATATTATAGAAGCCATGTGATCCAGCCAGATATAGAAACAGGATTACATGAACAAGTTAAAATTAACTATGACAGCTGCTCCCTACTAGATACAGAATAGGGGACAGCTAGCAATAATAAGGATTAAAACAAAATGACACCCCCAAATATATAAATATCAGTGGTTCAAAGAAACTGGGACAAATGAAAGAAATTGAAGGACATATATTTAGATACATAGAAACATTGTTATTATTCAAGCACATTCCAACCAATTCTTCTGGAAATTCTAGGAACTGAAGTCCTAATGTATCCAGAGGGCACTGGGTTGGGGAATATAATACTAAGGACATCTCATTTCCAGGTCATTATGTGACAAAGAAAACTATCATAAGGCGTAATATTGTCTGTGCAAATATAATGGAATTCCTTGTTCTCCCTTTTTTCTATAGGTACTCCTTCCAAGATGAAGAAGACATGTTCATGGTGGTGGATCTACTCTTGGGTGGTGACTTACGTTATCATCTTCAACAGAACGTGCAGTTTACAGAAGAAACAGTTAAACTATATATCTGTGAAATGGCATCAGCTTTGGACTATTTGCGCAGTCAGCGTATTATACACAGGTAACCTAACAATCTGTTGTTGGCAGCTGTGAGGATCAGGTCTAATTCTATGAACTCATCTCATTCTAGTGCAGTGTTTCTCAACCTTGACAATTTTAAGGCATGTGGACTTCAACTCCCAGAATTCCACAGCCAGCAATGCTGGCTGTGGAATTCTGGGAGTTGAAGTCCACATGCCTTAAAATTGTCAAGGTTGAGAAACACTAGCCCATTGGGAAACAACTCTATAGAATCTCTGATTTTATAGTTGGAGTAAATTTTCTTCAGTAAATACTTAATCTCTAGTCCTACCATGAAATGGAATGATTCTAGGACATAATCACAACCTAATTTTCTAATCCTGTAATCTTGATCGATATTCTAGTTACATAGAATTTTGAACATGCAGGCAACTTCATGATCATGTCATCTTGCTCTTTGATGCCCTTCTGTGTAGTTAATTTCTTTCCATAGGATTATAATTGAGACCAGTGGCTGCTCTATCAAAATCTTTCTCAGTTTTGTTTTGCTTTGTTTTTTATTTATGTCAAAAGTCTGGAAAAACTCTTTTACCATGAGTCAAGATTGTTTCAGTGCCGAAAGAGCCTATTTAGCTTTTACCGATCTGGTGCTTTTTATATGGGTTCCTCAATTTTCATCCAATTCTTCTGGAAATTCTAGGAACTGAAGTCCCAACATATCTAGAGAACATCAGATTGGGGAACATTAAACTAATGAAATCTCATTTCCAAGTCATTAACATCCTCCTCTCCTCCTCCTCCTCCTCCTCTCCTCCTCCTCCTCCTCCTCCTCTTCCTAGGAGGCACAGAGGTTATGGATTGAGATTAGAACCATAGTACTTTGGAAGAGTAATTTCCTTTTTACCTACCATATAGCTGATTTCACTCCTCCCCTATATGCTTACATCAACCTTTGAATTACTAGCTCAGAATCGTCCAGTGAATTTCATACTGAATGAAGTTTGGAACTAGATGTTCCTGACCTTTAGTCCCATATTTTAACCACAATAAAACAGATCCTCATGTGAACAAATGCATTCCGAGAGAGATGCCAATGGAAAAATTACACTTGCCTATTCTGCAATGCAATCCAGTTTGACTCTCGCCTAGAGACTCATGGCAGCTGCTATTTAATACTGTTTGAAGATGGAAGGATCTTCGTCATAAGACAACTTCAACTGGCAAGAATTTTATTCAAACCATGACATGTCTTCGATTTCTGAGAAATTTCTATACATTACATTCAAATGAAATTTCTTTGAGAAGATCATGGATATCTCACACCTCTGTTTTTGTGTAGCTGATAATAGATAATGTTTTTACAATCTTGGAAACAATAACAAAAACTCAATATGTTTAATGGCTTCTTAGGGCAATTTGCTTGATGTGGAGAAAGAAATATAAGGAGTAAGTTGCCTTTTTTCCTGTCAAGATTAAGTTTTATATATATACTGTATATTTATTTTGCTTTCCAGAGATGTGAAACCAGACAACATTCTCCTTGATGAACAAGGTAAGGAAAAATCGCATGGCTTTTATTTCTGCTGTCTTGGTGTTTGAACAGTCTGGAAATGGGTGATGTGGGATGTTTTTTGGTGCTTTGTATCATGTGCATTTATTGCAGAATTGTGATATTCTGCTTCAATTTCTGTAGAAGTGACAGATGCACAAGCTTACAGGATTTGCAATGAGTTGATTGGTTCATGGCTTTCTCAGCAAGCTCTGGGGCACAGCCATTTGTGACCCCTGAATTTATATTAGAATATTATTCCTTATTATTTATGGTGTTTTCTTCCCTGATATAGTATTGCGTATTACATTTTTGTTTTGATTACTGTGTTCTTGTTTTATTGCTTTAATAACTTCTATATAATGAAGATTTGCTTTGATGGTTGAGGCAGCTTATATATTGAACAAAACAACTGAAGAAATAACTGATGGAAAAGAGACATTATTAGTAGCTACTATAATTTGTTGTAGAACAATTCTGGCCAGAACAACTTTATGCAAAATCAACTAGAAGCCCTCTCCCCTCTCCCCCTCTCCCCACTCTCCCTCCCTTCCCCCCCTCTCTCTCACACACACACAAACACACACACAGACTTACTGTTATGATTTATGAAGTCTAGCAATCAGAATACAGATCATTGAAGCAGTGAGGCTGCTCTCTACCTTCCTAAGTCTTTTCTCAAAAATGATTGATTCTTATTTCCACAAATCAACAATCTATTCCCTACCAGGCTGATCAGCTGCACTGCAAGAAAAAGCAGGCAGAGCTCCCAGTCATCCTGTGGGACACAAAAATTGTAACAGGATACTACTTGCAGGCTGCAGGTCCAATATTTTTAGGATATTTATTATCTTTTACTACTATAGACACCTTTTAATCCATTTGCATGCCTAGGATGGCAGAATCAAGACAAAGTTTGGGTTTGAAGAAGTCTGCTTCAGATACAGGAAGGATTATAGCTCACAAGTATGTCACATGCTTTAGAGTAGTGTTTCTCAACCATGGGAACTTTAAGATGGGTGTACCTCAACTCTCATAATTCCATGCTGGCTGGGGAATTCTGGGAGTTGGAGTCCACACATCTTAAAAGTTCTCGAGGTTGAGAAGCACTGCTTTAGAGTGAAAAGAGCACAGCTCTGGTACTGGCATCTCCAAACCAGACTACAGAAAAATTTATATTTTGACATTCTGGGGAGACTTGCTGTTAGATTAGCATAGACAGTGACTCATTGAATTCATTTTCTGGCTTGTGGTCTGGCACTTCCAGTGATGCAAAGATGAAACACACAGGAGCCATGGTTTCCTCATTTACTTCAAGCAATAGAAATATGTCTCTTCCCTCTGTGGAATTGCACGGGTATCATCAGTCTTTACAACCTCATCACTGAAAACTAGTTATGGAAAGTCGAAAGGTGCAGCCTGACAAACTGTGTTCTTTCTTTCCTCCCTCTGGAGGCGTGGAGTTGCATATTTATTTAAATGCTTCCTGCGTACTTCCATAACAAAACAACTGCTGTTTGCTGCAGGCCAGGCCAGGTATCTAGATGCGATGTCTCCAATGTGCCTGTGGTGACATTCTGCTAAAGATAGATCTCAAGAGCTAGCAGCTTCAGACACCTGTTAAGGTGCATGCCCTTCTACTTCGAGGTTAAAAAGCAGAAAGCAAGCAGCAAAGTAAAGGTGTAAAAGGAAGGAACTGTTGTCTCCACGTATCTGCTGTTTCCCTTTGATTGGCAATGGGGATACATCTCCAAAGGAAGAGATGAGCAAGCAAGAGTACTGAGAAACTAGACCTACCACGGCTGTCTTGCAAAGCAGCCCCTGAATCTTTAACCAGCCATATCTACAGTGTTTATAGAAATAAACTAGGCAAAGGGCATCATGACTTAATCTGCCTGTTTGTTTCATCTAGCCTTGGCGCATGAATCCCAAATGCTAGAAATCCACATGCAGGAGAAATAAAAAAAAGAGACAGATTGATTTCAGAGTAGCATTTTTATCTTGGCATGAAAGCATTAGCAGTTGCTGATCTGCTTCAGGCAGCTTAGGAGAGATGATGTAGCATACCTAATTGTAATATAAGCGAGATGTGGTTCTTAATACACCCAAGCTGATATCAATCAGCTCTAGAATAGTATAGTTTGAAAATGACTTCCCCTAGTAAGGTCATATATTTAAATCAGAGTTGATGTGTTGTTTTTTAAAATCCTTTAAACATACCTAAATACAGTGCTCTCCTGTCCTGGAGTGCAGATTACAGCCAAACCAAAGCAGACCTCTCTCTACCTCAGATGCAGCACTGTTCATTCATGCGTCATATAATGTGCCTGGGCAATTGGAGAAGGTTCAACTGCCTCACAGCTAAACTGCAAAAATCCAAGACACCATTAGAGGCAGCTCTGAGATATAGAAACCTTTGATTCTTCCTGCCACCTAGTAGTCATTCATATGATGTCAGTCTAGATCAGAGGTCTTCAAACCTGGCCCTTTTATGACTTGTGGACTTCAACTCCCAGAATTCCTCAGCCAGCGTGCCTGGCTGAGGAAATCTGGGAGTTGAAGTCCACAAGTCATAAAAGGGCCAAGTTTGAAGACCCCTGGTCTAGATCTTGTAGTTCTAATTCACCCTCCTGTGCTATTGGTTGGTCCTGTTGGTATATGAAGGATTGATATCCATGGTATGGATATCCATGGTGATCTTCATTTTCTCTGTAATAAAACACTTCCTTAATAACTCAACAAGAGAGGTCTATTTCATGTCAGAGGAAGCTTTTGAAAGGAAGATATTAATTATTAATAATTATTAATAATTAAATATTATTTATTATTATCACTTTGGGTGACTCTGAGTGGCTTACAAAGATAAAGCCCAAGTATAAAAACCAATAGCTTCCCATCTCCGTAGTGACAACAGTCAGACTATCCATTTGATGGGCTTCATATCATTCTAGTGTCTGCAGGCCCATTGGCAGATCATGTCTTCAGGGACTTGCAAAAGTGGGGGCCAGTCTGCAGAGATAATGTTCCACAGGGAGGGAGCCACTACAGAGAGAGTCCTTTTTCTTGGTCCCATTAGATCAGGGGTGTCAAACTCGCAACGTCACATGACGTGTCACGATATATCAGGCCCACAGGCCAGCAGTTTGACACCTCTGCACTAGATGGATCTCCATGAGTCATGGTGGTGCAGTGGTTAGAATATAGTATTGCAGGCTAACTCACTGCTCACTGCCAGGAGTTTGATGCTGACCAGCTCAAAGTTGACTCAAGCCTTCCATCCTTCTGAGTTCAGTAAAATGAGGACTCAGATTGTTGGGGACAATATGCTGACTCTAAACTACTTAGAGAGGGTTGTAAAGCACTGTGAAGTGGTATATAGTATATGAAGTGCTATTACTAGTGTTAAAAGGAACCCATACTATTCCCTGCCTGGGAAGAGTTAGTCCTTCAAACAACATGGTCCCAAGCCATGTAGGGCTTTGAAAATGACAGCCAGCACTTTGAATTGGACTTGGAAGCAAGTTAGCAACCAATGCAGCTCCTGCAAGAGAGGTGACACATGTGCAAATCTAGCCTTGCACAAAACCATGGGGGCTACCGCATTTTTAAATCAATTGAAGCTTCCAGATACTTTTCAAGGACAGTTCCATGTAGAGTGCTTTGCGATATCCACAAGGTGGAATTTTAATGGTTTGCAATCAATTGCCAGAAGATTTCTTTATGCATCTCCTGATGCATTCAACTTTGTTCCAACCCTGACAATAGCATATTCCCCAATGAATCCTTTAAAAAGCTTATCAAATAGCTTTTCACACAACAGGAAAGCGAAATGCTAGTTGACTGGACAGCTTTTATGTATTCATGTGTAATCCAAGTTATATTTAAAGTGTCACAGTCTACCCATTAGTCCATCGATCAGAAAGACTTTCAAATGAGTTCTGATTTTTCCTATCATGCAACATTTTTTTTCTATTCTGAGTAACAGGTAAGAGACACTGCTAGTTTGCCCTTTCATAATCAGAAAGGAAAAAAATGATATGTGATATGTGTGAAAGAGCTTGCTGACCTACAAGAGCATTTTTTAAAAGTGTAAGTAATTAAAATCTAAACTGCGATGTTAGTTCATTATAAAAAAAAAATATTTATACAATTGCATTTTACAATGGCACCTTCTTTAGGATCACGATTATTCTGAAAATGATGTGCGTAAGTAATGCAGAACTCTTAACTGAAATTGCAAGTGACTTCTCCATCAAGAGAGAGATAAATAGGTTGTTTTATTGATATATTAGTTTTCCTGATGGTAGTTAAACCTCAGATCATTTAGCCAAATGTAAAAAGTTGATTGGGTGCTTTCTAAAAAACCATCTATGGTTTAGAATATGATATTTCATTCAGTGGATTGAAAACCTGATTGCACTTGTCACCTTGTCATGGCCCGGAGAAAATGAGAGCAGGTTCCAAATTGGTGCGTATGCAAACGGCGCCGCACATGCTGGCGCAGTACTAGCGGCCCCGTTCGTGCATGCGCAAATGGGCCGCGTATACCCACCCGGGGCTAGCTGCCCCATTCACGCATGCGCAAACAGGCTGCACAAATCCATCCGGCGCTTATGCAAATGGGGCCATGGGCGCTAGTGTGAGTGGGGGGAGTGCGCACGCATGTGTGCACACACCAGCCAGCTATTTCTGCAGTCCATAGGTTGGGAACCCCTGCATTAGACTATGTATGAACAAATATATGTATGACTATGTATGAAATACGGGACTCATTTATACAAAATACAGTAGGTTAAAAAAACATGATATAGTTAAACCAGTTGTATAAATGTATTAGAAATATATGTATTTGAATAATTGTATTAGATAACTGTATACAGAATTGTAACTATTTACAACCAGATCGATATGTCATTTTTGTTTGTTGTATTTGTTTGTTTTTTTAAAAAAAATCATGTGTTTTTCCCCTCTTTTCTTTGACAATGGATGTATTTTTATCTTTGTGGGTTTTTTGGTTTTTTTGCGATAATTTTAAAAGCAATAAAAGTAAATTAAAAAAATATTATGATATTTTAAAAATTGTATCAAATAAGATATATTGCTTTGTACTTAAAAAATAATAATATATGACTTCCTTTATCTCTACCTTTAAGACTATCAACTGTTCTCCAATGATTCAGATGCCCCCTGGTTCACATTTATTAGGATAGATTTAATTTTTACGTGAATTCATAAGATTCCTTATTATCATGTTATCTTAATTGTATTATGATCTGAAATCATATTTTTCAGAATAAATTAGAGCTACAGGGTGTTTCTACCTAAATGTCATGTTGTGTTCTATTTAAGGCCATGCCCACCTAACTGATTTTAATATTGCAACAATCATCAGAGATGGTGAAAGAGCAACTGCTCTTGCTGGAACTAAGCCCTACATGGGTAAGTAAAGCCATTTCTGTTGCTTAATGATGTGGGTGGTGGATCATATTCTTCAAATACAGTATTATGGTTTTCCTTGGAAAACCATGACTGTCAAGTGGTTTAAAACTCACTATGAGATGAAAAGAAATAAAAACATCCTGTTCCTGTAACAAATTAATTAAAATGATATTAATTATTTTAGGGGCACAACCAGAGAAGGTTTTTCTTGTGAAATCTCTTTTCATTCGTAATCCTCTACTGTTTCTGTTGTTTTCTCCTACACAGACTCCATTACATTAAGGAGTAAAAAAAAAACAATAGACAGACTTTTATTTCCATTCATAATACGAAGAGCTCACTACATGGAAGCATCTTTAATATTAAACCCTCTCCTTCCCTCCCCCGCACACATCTCCTAATATAGTGGTACCTTGGTACTCAGTTGGTTTGAAATTGTCAGAACATGCACAGTCTTATTGCGCTGAGATAACCCAGGAGTAAACACAGTAAACAGTGGTCTATAATAAATGGTGGTTTATCTTACACTATCTACAATATCATACATCAGGAACAATATACATAAACGTGTTAATATAGCAGGCTCCAACACACAGCAGTTACAGCAGGAAAACGAAAGAGAGAGAACACATCTGCAGAGCCTTCCCTTTTATACAAAGGCTCTTAAAGATACACAGACCCAGCTGGCTCTTAAAAGGACATAGACCCTGCTGAGTCATTCCCATCACTACATCTTACATTACATCAGCTGGTTAGCTTCTAAATCATTACCTTGACAGATACTCATCAAATTTGATTCTCAACACATTTTGATGGGAAAACTTTGTTCCGGTACTCATTACTTGTTTGTTATTCAACGCACAAGCTAGAACTTGTCGATGTCAGCTGCCTTGTGACTTACTACATTATTTCTTATGGGAAAAATTTATTTGGTATTCATTTTTGGTATTCATCGCGCCTGCTGGAACCAGTTAATGATGATTACCAAGGTATCACTGTATACGGTACCCAACAAAGAAGAGTAGATTAAACTTTTTTTATTCTGATCAAAGTGCCCCAAAATCTGCATAATAAGTAGATTTCACTAGTCTAATGCAGATGTACCTATAAAGAAGGCTAAATCTCCAACAGGGTTATAAAGTGATGGATTAGAAGTAAGTATCCTTGAAGAATCATTTTTTTCCTATCTTAGATCCAAAATTACATTTTTCCACTCAATCCAAATGAAATACCGTATACATTTTCCTGCTAAATTGGTTCATAATTTGAGATTCTGTCACGTCATATTTACTTTGTTGTGTTTGTGTATGTGTGCATTCTGCACCATATTGGAACATGTATACTACGATATATTAGAGTCAGTTTGGTATAATGGTTAAGATGCCAGGCTAGAAACTAGCAGACTGTGAATTCTAGTCTGGCCTTAGATCTGAACCTCAATTGGCTTATTGTCATCCCCAATATTTGGTCCTATATATGAGGTCAACATACGATTCTCTTTTGTATCATCTTAAGCCAGCATACCTAGTTACAACTTAGAAGATCTTGTGTTCATTAAGCCCCACTAAATTTGTTATAATACCTGGTTTTACATCTAAGGGAATATGCAAAAATGGTAACAGCAGTTTTACCAAAACTAACAATGATGGAAGTATTAAATGATGTCTTTGTCTTTCTTTTCAGCTCCGGAGATCTTTCATTCCTTTCTGAATGGAGGAACAGGCTACTCCTTTGAAGTTGATTGGTGGTCTCTGGGAGTGATAGCCTATGAGCTTCTGCGTGGATGGGTGCCTGACATATTCTTTATTTTTAAAAATACTTTGGAAATTGCTTTGCCACATTAAAGTGTGGGAGGGGGTTTTAGAGTTCATTTTTTTCTACCACAATTATTCATATTTATAATTAAGCAGGCCTTGTTTGTCAGATAACAACAATTTATGTGAGGTAATACCTGTTCTTAACATCAAGTGCTCTCTGCCATAAATGGCCCACCTTGGATTTGCTGTCTTAAACTAGTTTGCATTTATCTGTCTCTTATCTTTCTATTGTCTGTCTGTCTGTCTGTCTATCTTCATGGTTCTTGGCAGTACAATATTAAACAATTTGAGACAAAACAATATGAAACAAAATAAAACAAAACATCTGAGAAAAGGGATGGAGTCTCAGAACAAACCAGTCATCACACAAAGGGTGACACACTCTATTCCAGAGCCTAGGGAAAGAGCCAGGTTTTAAGAGCTCCTTTAAATAAAGCTAAGGTGAGGGTTGTACACATTACAGATGGATGTTATTCCAGAGGACAGACAGGTCTCTTTAGGCACCATTGTTAAATCAGTGAATCTGGAGCATGCGGATTCTGTCCAACCATCTGGGACAGAGAGTAACCATGGGAGACAGATGGTCTTTTGGATAACCAGGCCCTGTGCTTTATAAGTGATAACCAGCATCTTGAATCACATCCAGAAGGCTGCTGGCAACCAGTGCAGCTTAACAAAGATGCCATCGCATATGTGTGCATGCCCATAAATGCCTGTTCCACAGCATTCAGACCCCAACTGCAGCTTCCAAAGGGTCTCAAGGCAGCCCCATATGCCTTGTAATAGTTGAAATGCAAGGTGACCAAAGCATGATGATGATGATGATGATGATGATAGTAATAGAGTAGTAGTAGTATTACAGCAGTTTAAATAACTGCATTAATTAAATGCTTGATGTTACGATAGATAAATGTGGAATTCTCATGTATATCCATTTTTTCGTCTTTTTTTTTTCTTTTCCTCAGAGGCCTTATGACATCCATTCCAATAGTCCCGTGGAATCATTAGTTCAGCTGTTCAGCACTGTGAGTGTTCAGTACACAACAGCTTGGTCAAAAGACATGGTGGCATTATTAAGAAAGGTAAAATCATTGTTTCTTCGGTAAGGATTTCAATGATTCATTATCACTGCACAAATACGGGCTTTGATCCAAAAATATGTGCTCCCTTTGACTTGCCAACATGCTACATATGTCTGTGTAGCAACAGTTGCCTTCAGCACATTACTTCATTGTTCCCAGAACAGTGTCAAGAAAACATGCCTGCAGTCCTAGGCACCAAAGTAAGGGGGAGTGTGTTTTGCACCACAAATACTGTCTCCTGTCCTTCAAATGTTTTCCAGCTCTGTATACACATCACTGCTGTGGTGGCGCAGCAGTTAGAATGCACTATTGCAGGCTAACTCACTGCTCACCACCAGGAGTTCAATTATGACCAGCTCAAAGTTGACTCAGCCTTCGATCATTACAAGTTCAGTAAAATGAGGAGCCAGATTGCTGGGGGCAACATGCTGACATTTGCAAACCGCTTAGAGAGGCTGTAAAGCACTGTGAAGCGGTATATAAGTCTAAGTGCTATTGCTATTTTCATTGGGCAGATAGAAGTGTGCATTGTCAGAGAGGAAAATATATTTTCTTTAGATGTAATGCAGCATGTAATTTTATCGTTAAAGGTATGCAATGCCTATACTTGTAATTGCCAGTAATAACTTACATGGAGTTGTAGGGCTTTCTGGTAGCTTGATTAATAAGGACTTATTTTCATATTATCTTTTCAGATTGTGATACCCCCTATAGGCATTCAAAAGGCAAAAATGTGTGAAATGTGTCTCGCGATCCAATTTCTCCTTTCTCTGGCATTCCCGTGTGGAAGGGGAATTTCTGTGGGAGGCTGAAAGTGTATTTGGATGGTAACCAGCCCTCCATGAAAGTTCAAACTGTGAATAATCAAGGGTAGTCTGTGTATCAAACTGGATGTGCCAGACTTCTTTATAAAAGCAAGTGTCTCCTGTATATGAAACATTAGCTAATGGTGCTAATGATGGGTATCACTTGAGACTGAAGCATCAATCTCTGGAAGCCTGATAGTGTGTTATATTTATAATTTCCACTGGCAGCCAACCTAGGTGATTTTTGCCAGGACTGGCTCCAACATAGGACTTTTGAGAAGCAAGGGGAAGTGATCAGCATGCTTGAGGGAAGGCTAGCAAAAGTACAAATAAGCTTTAAAAAATTAATGTGAGAAACGAGTACTTTAGAGCAGGGATAGTAAACCTTGGCTCTTTTATGACTCGTGGACTTCAACTCCCAGAATTCCTGAGCCAGCTGTTCTGGGAGTTGAAGTCCACGAGTCATAAAAGAGCCAAGGTTGACTACCCCTGACTTAGAGCATCCAAATTCAGCCCATTGGAAACTGCATGTATAGAGGCCATGGAGTTCTGAATGCTAGTTTTGTGCAGTGGAATGATTTTGCAGAATATATTGGCGTGAGCAAATCCTCTCTCCTCATCCAGTTGGTTTTTGGGGTTTTCCCAGATTTTTCCTGCCTACACAGGCCCCTCATTTCATCCGCAGTCCAATGGAAAGATGCTTGTGCATGCCTAGGAAGGCCCCAAAACATTTGTGATGAGTTTCTGTAGGACATAACAGTCTGACCATTTCAGTGAGGGGAGATTCCTTCATGCCAACACGCTGTGCAAAGCTCCCTTCAAATCTGTTACAAAATGCTCCTTCAAATTCTTTGCCAGCCCTCTTCAACATCTGTAGGAAAAATAAAATGTAAAGTGCCTTTTATGCCTGTAACCTTTAAATGGTTTTAAAAGACGAGTACCTTGTAAAAAAGAAAGGAAATGCATATGTACAATAGTGTCAAGAATCAAGTGCTCCAATATAAATCTCAAATGGACAGCATGTGCAATTTTAAAGTAGGATTGTGTTATGAACAATTTACTCAACAAGAATACCCCCTCTGCTGGATTAATATAAGATGATAATCTCCAAAGGAACATTGTCTGTCGAAAGTAATAAGCAGTGGAAGGCATGAAACATTCTGAAGATGAGCATTTGTGGAAAACTCAAATGAAGAATGAATTGTTGAGATAATGAGAAGTTTCATCATATTTGAATTTGATAAGCATCAGTACAGAAGGAGCGTGATGTTATTCCCAGTCACAGAAAAAAATGGAATCTGTGAATTCATGCAGCTAGGAGACTTTGCTCTTGTCCTTTTATCCAAATTTAAATTTAAGAAAGGCCATTTAATTGTGTGCAGCCATTCCATTTTGATGGAAGGCACGCCAACAATTGCAATGAAGAATTGGTGCTTCCCTTAGGTTCTTTGTCAAACAGTGACTCAAATACTGTAGGACCTATGAATGTAGTTCAGTCTGAGGGGCTGTATTTTACTGCTCAGAAGAAACCTCTGCATCCAAATATCCCTGGGCATCTAACATGAGATAAATAAATTTGCAATAGAGGTGAATATCTGTAGCTTGGGTGCAGGATGAGGGTGAAGGTTCGTTCTCCGACCTCGTGGTTGGTTTCCAAATGTTTTGTTACCAGGCTAGGTAACATCTTCAGCTGAGATGAGCACTGACACTGACATCCCCTAAACTCTGCTGAAGATGTTACCCAGCCTGGCAACAAAACGTTCAGAAACCAACCCACAAGCTCAGAGAACGAACCTTCACCCTCATAAATAAGTTTGTTAATGATAGTCTGGAGAAAATCGAATGTGTCTTTCATTAAAAAAAAATGGGGGATACAACTAACCACATTTGGTTATTTTGTGGAACAAAACCAATTAAATGAGAGATTATATTATATGTAACTGTTGAGAAAAGGAAGTGGATTTCTCTTTACTGTATAGACTTCACTGCCCATGTGGAGAAGTGCAGGGAATCTTCGGTCTGCAACCCCAACTGGAACCAGAATTTCTGTTGATAAGCGAGGCAGTTGTTAACTAAGCTGTACCTGATTCTGTGGCCTTTTTTATGATTTTATAGTTGAGCAGGTCGCTGCAGTCGTTAAGTGAATCACATGATTGTTAAGCAAATCTAGCTTTCCCCGTTGGTTTTGCTTATCTGAGGTGGGAAGATCACAAACAGCGATCACGCATGACCCCAGGATACTGCAGCCATTGTAAATACCTGCTGGTTGCCAAGTGCCCGGATTTTGATCCCACGGCCGTGGGGATGGTGCGACAGTCTTAAGTGTGAGGACGATCGTCAGTCACTTGTTTTTCAGTGCTATCGTAAAGTCAGATGTTCACTAAATGAATGGTTTTACAGGACTACCTGTAAAATGAAGAAACAGCCCAGATTTTTTTTTGCCCAGCCGCCAAGTTTTGCCCTAAATAAATTTGCTTCCCCTCTCTGATTTCCATTTTCAGCTTCTGACAGTGAATCCTGAGCATCGTTTTTCTAGTCTAGCCAACATTCAGACATCCTCCTTCTTATCTAGCGTGGACTGGGATGAAATTTGCGAAAAGAAAGTAGAGCCTGGCTTCGTTCCTAATGTGAGTCAAAGTGATGAGTACGTTTGCTTCTCTTGTTGGCCTCTGCTACTCGTGAAGGAGGTAGTAATATGAAGCCAAGGGTTGTATTTCCCCCCTCCCTCCCCATGGGCAACAAATTTGGGCTCAGAATATTGCTCGCATTATCCGTTTGCTATTCACATGACCGTCTCTCTTTCTGATTTTTCACAGAAAGGTCGTCTGCATTGCGACCCCACTTTCGAGCTGGAAGAGATGATTTTGGAGTCAAGGCCCCTGCACAAGAAAAAGAAGAGGCTTGCAAAGAACAAATCCAGGGACAACAGCAAGGATAGCTCACAGTCTGTAAGTGCTCACTTGCAGTCGCCAAAGTAAAATGAAATAGTTGAGTGTCCTCTGATTGTAGGAGCTGGCATTTTGCTTTCAAATGCCTCCGGTGGGGCTCTGCAAACTCCGCTCTGCTCTTGTCCAAGCTGCAACTTGAAGGAGGGTTCTGCTTTGCTCCACAAAGCAACAGGGATCCTTCTGAGAGTGAAAATAAGTGAGCCCCGTTGCTTCATTTTTATTTTCTGACGTCACTACAATACAGGCAGTCCTCGATTTACAATCATGATTGAGCCCCAAATTCATGTTGCTAAGTGAGACATTTGTTAAGTGAGTTTTGCCTCCTTTTACCACTTTTCTTGCCACAGTTGTAAAGTGAATCATTGCAGTTGTTAAGTGAATCTGGCTTCCCCATGGACTTTGCTTGTCAGAAGGTCACCAAAGGTGTTCACATGCTCTTGGGGACACCACAACCATCATAAATATGAAGCCGTTGCCAAGCCTCCAAATCTTGGTCACACAACCATGAGGATGCTGCAATGGTCCTAAGTATGAAAAACGGTCATAAGTCACTTTTTTCAGTGACGTTAACTACGAAGGTCACTAAATGAATTGTAAGTCGAGGACTACCTGTACCAGCACAGAAACCTCTTCTTGCTTTGGTCTTCTCCAGTACTGCTTAACCGGCAGGGAAAACAGACACGGGGAAGCTTCAAAACAGTGAGGTGTGCTTCATTAAAGCAAACTGTGTTGTTTCTTTGCTTTGATGAAGAGATGCCCGTTGCCCTTGCAGCACCAATCTAAATCACCTCGTACTTTCTTACATTATGTCCCTCCAATTAGGTGAGACTAAAGTTGCTAGAATTTCAACTTCTGTTATTATACTGGGATGTGGGAATAATCCTGGAAGACAGGAGGAAGAGCCACAGACCTGACAACCATCATGCAAAAGAGATCTCGGTCCTCAGAAGTGGGATGTGGGTTGGGGAATGGCAAGTGTTTCAGAAGAGGCCTCCTTAGTTTTTCGGAGACTATTGGAAAGGAGGGGACAAAAGCTTTCAAACTAGCAAGGCTCTGTTAACGTAACCTTGCGATAAAGACAGAGCTAGTACTCACTGTTGTCCTTATCTGGGCTACTTTGAAAGCCTATTATTTTATTCTGTCATATTGGTCTATCAAGCAAACACTGGTTCTTATGGCAAAGGACCAACCTCTTGCCAACTACTGCTTATAAGTGACACCATTGTTGCTCTTGTTGTTGTTTTCCTTGAATACCAACAGTATGCAAGGCATTTAATGCAAGAACTCAGAGCAATGTATTTAGACAACCATTATGAAAAAAATATTTGAAGAATGAGTGCAAATTTTATCTGCATTTCTTAACAATGAAAACAGATTAAAAGCAGAAATGAGGGCAACTAAGCAGCCCAACAAATGCTAGAAACTGACTGATCTGTTCATTATGGTTAATCTGTCTGATTAACTGACTGATCTGTCCATGATGGTTAATTAGAGGAACAATTGTTGGGAGTCAGTACATTACTTAAACTTATTATATATATATATAGATAGATAGATAGATAGATAGATAGATAGATAGATAGATAGATAGATAGATAGAGATAGAGATAGATAGATAGATAGATAGATAGATAGAAAAAGAAAGAAAGAAAAAGAAAGAAAGAAAGAAAGAAAGAGAAAGAAAGAAAGAAAGAAAGAAGTTATTTCTTTGAAGTCAGAGGTAAGCAAAATCTAGCAGAAGTTGGTAAGAAGAAAGTGTGTATATAAGCAGTGGCATATGGATTTCTAATGACCAGGTTTGCCAAGCAACATATTCTAATTGGAATTAGGTCAAAACTAGTTAGAATTCTCACTTTTAATGCCTTTCAAAAAACACCTGTTCTTAGTATTAAGAGGTGTAAAAAAGCCTTCCATAGATGTTGTTGAGAGTGTATTCAGTCCCAGTAAATTCATTACAGGCTGAAAGCTAGCAAAAAAATGATGTTATATTGTCAGTTATCTAGCTTCAGTTAAGTCTGACACGCTTTTGAGAATGTAGGGCTTTTTCTTTTTCCACAGCAATTCACTTTTTGAAAGTAAATAACCCCAACTGCTATATTCCTAAATAAGTTAGCAAATTTATGTCCGGCTGTTTCATTAAAAAGAAATGAAGCCTCAATCCGCTAAATTGGAAATCGATTTTGTGAAGCAAAAAATAAAGCAGATGAGAGTTGTACCAGTCCTGATGTCCCTGTTGAGTGCTAGAGCTGTGCAGCGCATTGAATTTGATTTCAAAAAATGCTTCATAGCGTGCAGTAGCACAATTGTAGCCTCTGCTTGCAACCTCATAAAGCAGCTGCAATATATCCTGGGATTGGCTGGTTGATTACAGTGCTTATGTTCAATCACAGTTAGACAACATCGGGCAATTCACAATAAACATCCATAAAACATTCACATCGGCCTCCCCCACAATCAGTCCCATAAAACAACCAGTAAATATCCCGTAAAACCAACGGTACAACTAGAACAACCCCCCTTAACAGGGAAAATCAGTGTACAATCAAAAGCACTTAAGCTCCAGCAGCCCAGAAGAATAATGCTATTTTAGGCACCTTGTTGAAACAATACAACATGTGGATTGCCTAAAGTTGTTTGTAAGAAGGCCTGACCCTGACCCTACTTTCTAACTTCTCTACTTCTTGGAGTGAAGTTCCTGAAGTATCCTCTCTATGATGGAGCTTACAAGATGGCCAAACTCCTTTTGAAGGAGTTGGTGCCTAAGAGGTCACCTCTCTGTAGGTCATCTGCATCTCCATCTCTTTTATGTGTGACATATAAACTGCCATTTAAGGGTAAGCAGACAATTTGGTGAGATTCTTATGAACTGGAGATCAACAATAAAGCTATTTGACCAGATCTTGGAGCTGTTCTGGTTGCCTACACCCGACAAAAAGATAGGGTAGGTGGATCGGTGATTGGTTTACTTTTATTTAATGAACTATGACTGACCATGGATTTTAACTCATCGCCTAATTTCTCACCTGATATGTTTATAATTATATCATATTGGACCATTAATTAAGCAAAATAAGGTTCCAGAATAGCTAACAGGAAACAAATAAAAGCATACAGTGATCAATTCTGGGTGACTGAAAGATGATGATGTTGCTATTGTTTTTAGGTGCAAAACTTACTTCTGCTTTTAATTCATGGCAGTTTAGACAGGAAAGTACAAATAATATTTCTCTTTTTATAGGAAAATGACTACTTGCAGGAATGTCTTGAAGCAATTCAGCAAGATTTTGTCATTTTTAACAGAGAAAAGTGAGTCTGAAACTTGTTTTAAAAAGGGAGGTGGGGTGGAAAGACGTTTGGGTTGGCTGGATATTAATTACAATTACAATTCATGGAGAAAAATTCTCATATTTTCAGTTCTTTTATGTATCACCAAAAACCTACCATATATCTAATGTTGGAGAGAGCCTTCTGATCATTGAGTGATAAGAGAATGTAGGTTATAATCTGGGACATCTGAGAATGTGTGAACTTCAAGCTGCCAAGGTTGAGAAATATTGCATATAAGATATACATTCATTAGAAGATAACAATAAATCTCAGTTGGCAACAAAAGAGTAATAAAGTTGGCACCAGATAAACTTCTTAGACATTTTTGCACAATAACAGGAAGGTTATTTAGATGTTCCGTCTCTTAACATTCACTTGTCCTATTTCATTTGAACGTATGGGGAATGAAGGGAGAAGGCACCTTCGATGCAGTTCTACAAGCCTACCTGAACCCTAATCTCCATTAAATGTCTCACTTCAGAACAATGCTTTCATGACTACTTACTTTCACCACATACATAACTGCTTGGTCTTTGCAGGTTGAAGAAGAGCCAGGATCAGATGAATGAGTCCCTTTCTCCTCCTGAAACCACCGATGAAACAGAGACTGAAACAGAATCTGAACATTCCAACCTAAACATGTGTAGCTCAGTATGCTCATCTACAGGCAGCAGCTAGGACAAGAGGGCAAAGGGGCTAGAAGCTTGTGTGCCTCTTAAATAAAACATTCTCAGGTTGCAATGACAAGCAGATGACAGTACAGCAGGTACTTTTGTGGATGGGGGGGAAAAAAGAAGAAGAATCACACAAACCAACACTGTAGAGCCACAGAAAAAGCAAATAGTCCTTACAGAACTCATGGATTCAAAAAGATCTCCTGTTACCAGAGACTTTGCTACTATGCAACACCTCAACACCACTGTTCGATTTCTTTCTTTGTCCTTTTCTTTTGATAGGCGACAGATAGCATCTGAAGTGTATTTCAGGGACAAGAATGTAACATAGATCCAAGAATATGCAGAATGAAAGTGTGCAAGGTGGGAGGGCTAGAAAAGATTGCCAAGGCAATTGAAAATGCCCCATCACTATTGTCCTTACAGTCAGACAAAAGTTAACGGCATGCAAAATTGTCTCTTGATATTTCAAGAGCATCTGGGGATTCTTACAGAGCATGGCACTTACAGAGTTACCTGTTGGGACAGGGTTCAACTGATACCTTTGACTTCATGTGGTTTTTAATAAGTTTAATCTCTGATTTAACAGGTGCTTTGGAATCCACCCATCTAGGACCAAATGCTCTGACTTTTACAGCTAGTTTTTTAAAATGGTGTAGTGCAAGGTAATTTTATTTTTGTCAAACCACTGCATCTTTTTCACAAAGCTGTCCTTGACTTCCAAGGAATGTTGTATGCTTACAAGCACCTGAACTGAGGTTAGCATTTTCTTCACTCCTGTAAAGGAGCAGGATATTAGCGTGGCTTGATTGAGATGCCCTAACGATCCAGGAAGTAACACTTCTTTATGCTGTTCAAAGTGTGATTTAAATATATCAATCATTGGCACCTGTTTTAACTTCTTACAAAAACTGGAAATTTTTGATGCTGTTTCCTGCTGTGGATACTGCCTGTTTCTTTGTTTCAGAAGTCACTTCTCCCTCTTTCTTATACCAAGGCTGCTATCCTACACATATTTACCACGGAATAACGTCCACTGAATGTAGTGGATTTACCCCAGGTAAAAATAGTTAGGATTGCCTTGAGGCTTTTTCTTACTATATTGTGGCTTTATTCTTAAAACTCCAGGAATCCTTGACATTAGGGTATATGTTGTACATAAATCTTGTAACTCTTTTCACTCCAGTTTTGTTAAAACCTGGAAAAGATTGTCCTGTTTGTATCTTAGTTGTGTTTCCTTGAAAGAACGTGAACTTTGCATGCTTTTAATGTCGATACATTTCCCACCCACCTGCCTTGTCTTATTGAAACCAATTTGCTAGCATTGGACTAGAGTCTTTTGGAAACAGGAATCCTTACAGCCTTACTTCTGAAGCTACAATTTTCTCTGCAACAAGTTTTTTTTTTGTAAATTTCTCTGCCATTAAGATGGAATTCTGACCAACTCATTATCCAGTCAGTTCAACTAATGACGCAACAGAGGTATAATCCCTTTTATATGGACTACAGTGAACACATGGTTAACTTTCCACAGTTTTATGTGGCAGTTAGTAAGAAACAAAGATTGTACCCAACTGATATTTTGTAAGAATCATTAGAAAGGAAAGAAGAATCAAGTTTGCTTGTGCAGATATACAAAGAAACCAAAGCTTTATTCTCAGTGCCACTATTTGTAGATTATAGCCAGGTAAATGACACGTCCAATTTACAGTTGAATGGTAAATGTTATTAAGTTGTGTTAGTACTATGATTAAAACTTCACTTGATTTCAAGGGAGAAACTCTCAAAGATATTTAGATTATGCTATTCCACCAGCTGTTTTATCATAGTGTCGTAACCTCTGATGTTACAAGCAGAGCTGCAAGTATGCCAATAGGAATATTCAAAGTCAAAAGCCTTTTACGTGTTGGGAAAAAGAACACCACCACTTCTCTGCATTCATCAGTAAGGTCTGGTAGTGAGTACAGAACCACATTCAGCCCAATGTAGTTATTGTCCCCATGGGATACAGAATCCTAACACTAAGGATTCATAGTTTCATATAGGATTATAACCATGTTAAGACAAGCCTGGATCCAGTCTTTTTTCAGATCATCCACACGTTTTTCCTAATGTCTAAAGAAAGCTAAAGTGCCAATAGGGTTTGCCACTGATCGCCGTTCAGTTGCATCATAGCACAATAGATTCTACAGAGTTAAAACTCCAAATTGAATTCAAGACCTCAGTGTGGGTGACATGTGCATGTTCTAGTAATCAATCATAGACTTAAAATGTTGCATTTTTAAAAAAAGAATACTTGCCTCTGACTACTTTGTTTAGGAAGTGTTTAGTCTAATTAGCCTTGTGTTGAATGTTCTATGTGAATCTAAGACAAAAATGGCTTTCTTGTTAAAATGTTTGCATTGATGTAAGCCAGTAAGTGTGGTTATTGGCTAATGAATTCATAGGAAGTCCATTGTTTTTTTAAAGGTACAAAATAAAAGATAATTTCTTTAAAAGGTTTACAATCATGATTTAATAAAACGCAGAGCCAGAAAAGCATGTTGTATTGATTTTTATGGGGAGTTGTGCTTCTGTTTAAGGAGATGGAACAATGGTTAAATTTGGTGGAGTTATCCTCAAAACGTTCCCCTTCTTATTTTTCTCTTTCTTTTTTTGTCTTCAGAAACCAACTGTGCCATGCAGACATATTTTCATTTACTTCTTTACTTTACTTTACTTTACTTTTTTACTTTACTTTACTTTACTTTACTTTACTTTACTTTACTTTACTTTACTTTACTTTACTTTTTTACTTTTTTACTTTTTTACTTTTTTACTTTACTTTACTTTACTTTACTTTACTTTACTTTTTACTTTACTTTACTTTACTTTACTTTACTTTTTACTTTACTTTACTTTACTTTACTCTTTACTTTACTTTACTCTTTACTTTACTTTACTTTACTTTACTTTACTTTACTACTTTACTTTACTTTACTTTACTTTACTTTACTTTACTTTACTTTACTTTACTTTTTACTTTACTTTTTACTTTACTTTACTTTACTTTACTTACAGAGTGGACCATGTCACAGCAGGCTTAGACAGAGTCCAACAAAATGCTTGAGGGAAGGGACCCAGAGCATGCCTCCCTGCTGGACCTAGTGGGGTGGACAGGAAAAAGAGGGGGCAGGCAGTTGGGCAGATAGCCTGGTTCTGTGCCATGAAGGGCTTCATAAGTAGTAACCAGCTACAGGTCACCTCTTATCTTCATTTTCTTTAGAGGGACTGCAGATGTGAAGAGGCTTTGCTTAACAATATTTACTTTTCCCTTCAGGATGGTTGTCTGCAAGCTCAGTCAGCCAAGGGATTCTATTCTTTCCTTTTCCAGAGGAAAGGAATGAACATGCTTCTGAACTGTTTTTGAGATGATAGGCTTGTAGACTGATAATCACAAGTCTCCTGGCACCTGCTTAAAAGCATATTTGAAAGTACTTAACAACCATGTGGGAAGCTAACGTCTACAGAACCTGTGTTTCTTAACTCAGTACTATCACTGCTGCAGTATCAGGAAAACAGTTAGATGGTGATAGTGAATGCAGCAATATCCTTCTGAAGTATAGGCTGGTTGTTTTTTTTTAACCTAAATACATTTATTGGAAGTCAGCCTTCAACATTTGAGGCCAACATGGCCATTGATCATACTGGATGTGTGTGTTGGGAATTGTAGCCCCCACATCTTGACATTTATTGGGATTAAGAAATCTTATTCAGTAGGGAGTATTAAGCTCGTTCAGGCTGAATTCAGTTTCCTTTAGCTTAGCTCAGTATTTCTCAATCTTGACAACTTGAAGGTGTGTGAACTTCAACTTCCAGAATTCTCTAGTCATCATGCTGGTCCGGGAATGTTGGGAGTTGAAGTCCACACACTTTCAAGTTGCCAAAATTGAAAAGCAGTGGCTTAGGTGGTAACTGGACAAGTGCCTGGAGCATTTCAGTTATGTGCAAAATGTTTCCTCCCCTTCATATATATTCATTTATTTTGCCAGGATTATACTGCTTGTGTTCAATAGCAAAGAAACATTGAGGAAAGGTTTAAAACACATGCTTTCAATAATTTGCTTATTTTTTAAAGCATGTTCCTTTATATTTTACATATATTAAACTCTGTGTTTTAGTTTCACTTAGTGTATTAAATTTGTGGGAAGTAATCTGAGACTTATGGTTTCTAGGCATAATTCTAGAATAAATACACTGAGCCCAAATTATACAACATCAGTTCTCTGCCGACTATTTTCTGCAATTACAATTGACTCTGCTTGCCTGCATACATCTCATTTCCACGTAATGTGCTTGTTTTTTTCACTGAAATGTCATGGAAGGAAAAGATATATTTTATATTTTTTACTAAATGCACTGCTAAGGACGATGGATCTGTAATTCAGCAATATCTGAAGGACTACAGCTTGTTGATCTCAGATTAGACTTCTCGTGTATAACCTCAGCCTGCTATCAGTGACTTCCTACCACAAAAATACTTTCCATTGGACCAGCACTCACACAAAAAAAATTAAATTACCCAACTTCACAAACATAATGCTGAGATACTATAGAATATCGGTGCATGGAGAAAGACTGCTATTTTCTAGTTACCTCAGCATAACTGCAGTTGGTAAAATATCCCTATCAAGGTTCATGTTTTTCTGAAAATTGTACTGCATGCTAATGAACATTATTTCCTACGGGGGAATTTCTATGATATTCATGTCACGCGGTACAAAAAGGTCATTGCATATGTACTGTGAAAGTAAATATGGTAGGTGGTTAGTGTGCAACAGTTCGGTCATAGCCATGGGGAAGCCATATTGGGAGACCATGGGCCTCATTTTCCTACTCAGGTGAGAATTGCAGGACAAAATAGAGGAAGAGTAACATTTAGCTCAGGAACATATCTATTAAATGGTAATCCTATTGAATTGGAAAATTGCCGAGAGCCATAGCAATGTGGAGGAGAATTCCCAAAGCCC